ATATATATATATATATATTAGAATGTTTCTGAGATGCTGTCTGTCTATAGCAATCCTCTATGACCATGGACTGTTGTTAAGAGTTTGCATACGCTGAATATGAGCTATACATCTTTTGTTATTTTTTTTTAATATAAATTTGAGTGTGAAAGGTGGTGAAAAAACAAAAACAAAATAAAAAATCCTCTGGACAGATAGTTATAGAATATTGTTCATATATGTGGGTCACTGACTGTCATTTATCTTTAATTTAATTAGATTTGAAAGAAAAAAATAAATTTTGCACACACACACACACACTATATAATGGCTGTATATAATAGGCAAAAAATATATATTTACCAAACTCTTTATGGACTGAATGATTATAGATTTCATTTAAATCTGGTGCACACACAGATCTCTTTGTCTTCTCTTCTTTTAACATTTTTTTTTTTTTGTATAGTTAAACAGACCTCCATATGGAGTGTGGGTCGTTCCTTTACAGCATGATTTACTAGCAACACTTTTAACTTTCATAGCTGACCAGTGCAACTTTTGCTAAATGTAACACTCGTTTTTTTTTTGTAAGAGTGTTTTATTTTTGTGTGTAATTAGATCTGATTAAACGTGTCTTCCTGATGGGATCACTGTGGCCGCCTGCTTCTGTATGACTGTGTCCAAATAATCCATAAAATATATGGTTTTAATGTTTTTCATTGACATATCAACCAACCATTTCAGTAATCGAGTTAAAGAGGGGAGAATGTCTATCACTGATTCTGTGTGTAAATGGGTTACATCCTTGATGCATCATGTATTTACCATATTATTTTAAATGCAGCAAGAATGATTGCAAACTTGATTGCAAATACTAGGCATTAGGTTCAATAGTGTGGCAAGAGTATCGCAGTGCTTCACAATCCTTTTGTGACACCAAGGTGGGCTGTTAAGCAGCATCTTGGTACAAAGAGGGCAGATGACCCTATTAGAATAAGAAAGAATTGGACCTCTCTCTTGAAAACTGGGAGGAGGTGAAAATATTCCCCTTTTGACAAGTTTCAGACTCAATTGGACCAAATCTAAAGACAACATGGTAACATTAGCCATTTACACAAGGTAATGGAACCCAAAATCAAATAGAGTGCTGGTTTACTCCATTACTTAAATTACAACATTCATGCTTTGTTTTTTAACTTTCTACACATTTTGTAATAATACTCGAGTCATCAAAACTGAACTAACACATGAAAAGTGTTTAGAGACCAAGAAAGCTTAAACGTGAGAAATGTTGTGTATTTGAGCTTTTTCTTTGTGTGTATGTGTGTGCGTGTATATATATACAGTGTTGGGGAAAGTTACTTTTAAAAGTAATGCATTACAATATTGCGTTACTCCATAAAAAAATAACTAATTACGTTACGTAGTTACTTTTTATGGAAAGTAATGCGTTACGTTACT